ACATTTTGTGGTACCCAGTGACTTTGCATTGGTTTTACATTTAAAATCCCCAATTGTATGACAACAGCAATTAAATTTATTGTCTACGAACGGTCACCATGCAAAACTAGCAGCAGCTAGTTAGGGTTAGTGTTAATTGTCCGTAAAGAAACATAGCTATTCTCCAATATGAATGGAGAACGGCGCTAGGTTTATTCCTGATGTGGAACGTAATCACATACATACATACATACAATGCATAAATGTCATTGTCTAAAATTTTACTACCACGCGGCCATTACGTAAGTTTGCTGGAACGGTTGGGTGAGTATGCATGCGAAATTACAGGCTTTTGTACTTATTAATCTTTTTCGATTTTCAGATCACATGAATCAAATTAGCCGTTCTGGTGGCCCTGGTGGGTATATTGAATTTACCGACTTTTCGTCCACTTAAACATTTTGTCTAAAATTTTACTACCACGCGGCCATTATGTAAGTTTGCTGGAACGGTTGGGTGAGTATGCATGCGAAATTGCATGCTTTTGTTCTTATTAATCTTCTTCGATTTTCAGAGATTTTTATTGCGGTGGACGTGTGTTTACTCTCGTTGGTGTACGAATTGGAAAGTTTAACTTCTGTGCATTTTCGTGGAAAACTGCATTCGTTTAATTAGATACGCACGGAAATAAACCGCCACGATGGGAATAAAATTCCTCGAAGTTATCAAGCCATTCTGCAGCATACTCCCGGAAATTGCAAAGCCGGAACGAAAGATTCTTTCAGAAAGTCACCACGGTCATGAGCACAGTCATCCGCATGGGCATGGACACACACAAGAGCATGTCAGTCCAGAAGCACTAATGAATCCAACGTTTCTGAGACAATCTCAGCATGTTGGTGCTAATATGTCGGCACCTATACCCACAGCGCATGCCACGTATGATTAGTACAATGAGTACGATAGCGATACCCATGCCAGCACCACCACCTAGAAGTGGTACAAGTACCGGCGTACCAACAGCATTTAATGATACGCTAATCGATTTGAGTGGCGAATCGCAACAGTAAGTGTGTAAACCGATAGGAATTACAACGTAATTTGGTATTTTTATTTAACACGGATAAATATATATTTACATAAATGTGTATATGGAAAAGACGCACCACAAATTGAATGCACACTTAAGATGCGTAGGTACATTCATAAAGTTGGTAAATGTGGATGATGTTAAGAAATGGTCGGTTCTACAGTTGGAGACGAAAAGCGAATTTCTAATTATGCGTTTAAAAGTTAGTTTAGGTTGCCTTTTCGATTTAGTAAGAACTTTAATGGTATAAAAGGGATTATCCGTGATGTGTAATATATATATATATATATATATTTTTTTTTTTTTTTTTAATTTTGAATGAAGCAGAACTTTTGTAAAACAAAACGAAAATCCATAACTTCTATCCATAATTTCTGTACAATTTTTTAAAGATAATTCTGAAAAATGGAAACAATATCCAAGATTTCCCTGATATTGGTTCTATTCCTAATTTTTGCAAGTGTTTTTACTGTGGATGTATATGCAGTCTCGCTGGCTGCAAATGTAGATGGGAATGCCTATAAGACCGTCGTCGACAGTGTTGCGGACGCCGCCTCCGTAGCTTTAGTCGCAGACGAATCACCATTAGTTAGCTCAGAAGCAGCACAACAACAGAGTGCTAGCGCCAGTAAAATCGAAAGCGTCACCAGCAAGTAGCGCAACTTTCGACGCTGTACACAATAATTTCCTAAAGCAAAACCAACAGCTAACAGATGAGCCCTCAGCATTGACCTCAGCGGCATTTTCGGTCAATCAGCAGCACCAAGCCTCATGCATATCAACATTTGCAAAAGAAGAGCCACCGCGACAACCGCCACAGAAGAAGTATGAACATGAAATCTCCGTGCTGGGTTATAAAATTCCAATACCTTCATTCGTAATGGACGGTATGAGTTCCGTGCCAACTGGTGCGGAAGTAAATGCCGGCGGAGCTGTTGGTGCAGATGCAGACACCATATCTGAACGGATTGGCGACAGTGGCAGTTCTGATGATGCGAACATTTTCAAGCTCTTCTGCGAGAACACCACCATCAGTAATGTAAATGCGGAACTGCGTTCCAAAATGTATATCAATTATGGTTACATAATCCTGCAGCATTGCTATGTCAACGAGGATGCGTCGTCATTGCAATTGCAACAGTACGAAAGTGTGCGAAACTTCAAGTGGTCGTATAGCAATGTGCATGACCAACAATTGGAAACGCTTCTTTCGAGTCATAAATCGAATTTCGAGAATTTAGAATCCCTTGATGGTGCTATGGACTGCTATAACACTATTCATCTTCTTGGTTTGCTGCCAAATCCCGCTTTTCGGCATCATGAGCTCAGACTCAGCTGATCCGTTCTACTGGATTCGTGTGAGTTTAGCTTCGAATCGTGGTACACTTATGGAACTTGGTATTTCTCCAATTGTGACGTCCGGTCCGATTATGCAGCTGCTGGCGGGTGCCAAATCATTGAGGTCGGCGATACACCTAAAGATCGTGCGCTATTTAACGGTGCACAAAAATTATTCGGCATGGTTATAACAATTGGTCAAGCCATCGTGTACGTCATGACAGGCATGTATGGTGATCCTTCGGAAATTGGCGCCGGTGTGTGTTTGCTAATTATTATTCAACTGTTTGCTGCTGGTTTGATAGTGCTGCTGCTTGATGAGTTGCTGCAGAAAGGTTATGTCTTAGGCTCTGGTATTTCGCTTTTCATTGCCACCAACATTTGTGAGACTGGTGTGTGGAAAGCATTCTCACCTACAACTGTCACTACCGGCAGAGGTACAGAATTTGAAGGCGCCGTAATTGCACTATTCCACTTGATGGCCACACGCAACGACAAAGTACGTGCGCTACGTGAAGCATTCTACCGCCAAAATTTGCCAAATTTGATGAACTTGTTGGCCACAGTGCTGGTATTTGCCGTGGTCATATACTTCCAAGGTTTCCGTGTGGATTTGCCCATCAAATCAGCTCGTTACCGTGGCCAATACAGCAGCTATCCCATCAAGCTCTTCTACACTTTAAACATTCCCATCATTTTACAATCGGCTTTGGTTTCTAACTTGTATGTCATCTCACAAATGTTGGCTGTCAAGTTCCAGGGCAATGTCTTTATCAATTTGCTTGGTGTCTGGGCTGATGTTGGTGGTGGCTGCATTGGCGCGTTATCTGTTATGGCTGACTTTTTGGGTGCCATTGATTCAGGTACAGGTATTCTGCTGGCTGTAACCATCATCTATCAGTACTTCGAAATCTTCATTAAGGAGCAATCGGAGATGGGTGGCATGGGCACTTTACTGTTTTAAGTTGGGGGTGCGCTGTACATTATTCTAATTAATGTTGTTTATAAGAGGTGACTCACTCAAAATTGAACAATATCTATCCTCGAAAATATAAACCAATTGCCATATCGCTTTCAGCGTCATATGCAAAAGTATAGCTCGGTGCGTCTAACCCATCATTACAATTATCGCTTCAAACTCAATGGCCCAATCGCTCAAGATCGTAACTATTGTACACCCATATCGCACAATGGTAAGTCATCGGATTATGAACCAGGAATAACCGCAGGTGATGCCGATAAAGAAGACAACCAAAATTATGCAGCTGCCACTGCACTAATGATTATAACAACAATAATTCTCATATTGGTGGAGGTGGAAACTGCAAGTTTACTAATACACAAAGGACTAATACCTACGAGCGGAACTGGCGCACATAACGGAACTAATGCCGGAAAAATGGGTGAGTTAGACATATCCCTTTAAAATATATGCATATGTATGTATAGATATTTTTTTTTTTTTTTTTTTTGAACTATAGTCTTTGCTGGTAGGTTTTGACAATTGAGGCGAACTCATTTGGTCTAATGGGTTGACTGACGATTATCGAAACCTGTCAAGTAAAATGTATTCGCTTCCCATCAGACCTAGTTGTGTTGAAAAACGAGCAAGCATAATGAACAATTGTAACGACTTTCAACTTATTTCGCTTATTATTATATTTTTTGGAGGATTTTAATTGATAATTCGCACCTCGTTACCAATTTCGTATTTCTGAAACAATTGTTCATCAAGCTTGGTCTGTCTTATTTTTACCCGATTCATCACGCTGGGTCTGTCTTATTTTTACCCGATTCTATGCTTACAAGATCTAACGATGGTCGGTTCTTTATACCCAGATCTACCCGGAGAGGCCGGGCTAAGAACCATCACCAAAAATCTAACTAAAAACACGACTACCTTTAATATTGCTCTGGGTTAAACTTGATTATAGGCGTTGAATCCTTCCGAATGCATAGAAGTGGAATTTTTGTGCGATGAGGAAGTGGAATTCACGCGGGATTGGGGATCAACGGAGAGGGTTTATTTACGAAGTGCTTGCTGGCTCCTCGGTTTCTTGATTTTGGGATGGAAGTAGGACCAGTTTGGCCAGCGGTCTCGTAATCTGCCCTTTTTCCGTGATGATGTCAACTACGCGTACTCGATCGTCGGGACCAGGATGTAGGCTGATAATTCGACCTAATCTCCACTCATTTGACGGGAGGTTGTCTTCCTTGATGACAACGAGATCTCCTAATTTTATATTTTGCTGTGGATATTTCCACTTAATCCGCTTTTGCAGTTCGGATAAATATTCGGTTTTCCATCGTTTACAAAAAGTTTGGTGAAGGGCCTTTAGCTTCTGCCACCGATTTACTATCGAGGCAGGATTCTCGTGAGCGTCGATTTCAGGTGGGGCTAGCAGGTGTCCACCAGTAAGAAAGTGACCTGGAGTGAGAGGCTCCAGGTCGGTAGGTTCATTCGAAGCGGGGCTCAATGGTCGTGAGTTGAGGCACGCCTCAATCCGACATAAAAGAGTACTGAACTCTTCGAACGTATACTTATGAACGGATGCAATCTTTTTAAAGTGGCTTTTAAAGCTTTTTACCCCCGCCTCCCATAAGCCGCCCATATGAGGAGCAGCGGCGGGTATGAAATGCCATGTGAGCATTTGATAATTGTATTTCGAAACTGCTTTTTCACGCGAATCTGCTAAAAATGCCTTAAATTCAGATCGTAAAGATCGTGAAGCTCCGACGAAGTTTGTACCATTGTCGGAATATATGTTCTTCGGGCATCCTCTTCTGGCTACAAACCTGGCGAATGCAGCTAAAAATGATGGAGTGCTGAGGTCACTAGTTGCTTCCAAATGGATCGCTTTTGTCGTAAAACAGACAAAAAGGCAAACGTATCCTTTGGACATTCGACAACCTCGGCCGCTATAACTTTTGATGTCAAAGGGTCCTGAAAAATCTACACCTGTATTCGTAAACGCGCGCGAAAATGTGGTTCTCTCCTGAGGGAGAATTCCCATAAGCTGGGTTTGCGTACGTTTTTTGTATATCGTACAGACTTTGCAGTTATGGATTGTGGATTTGATCAGATTTTTAACTCTGGGGATCCAATACTGAGTTCGGATAAGGCGAAGCATGAGTTGATTTTCCCCATGCAAAGAGACTTGGTGAATAAAGGACACTATTAGACGGGACAACCTGCAGTTATAAGGAATAATTATTGGATGCCGCTCGTTATACGCTAAGTCTTGAGACGCTCCAAGACGCCCACCAGCCCTAATAATGCCATCTTTATCTATGAACGGATTAAGCGGTAGGAGTTCACTCTTGGAGTCGATGGAGTTTCCTGCTTTAAGTTTCCTGTATTCTTCACTGTAATAGTTCTGTTGATATATTTTTATCAAGCGTTGTGTCGTTGCTTTAATTTCATGGGATGAAATTAAGCGTGACTTTTCTTGAAATGAAGCTTTTGTATTTCGATGCGTTCTTTGAGAGAATCTCATAACATATGATAATACTCTCAAAGCTCTCGGAAAATCTGAAAAACGGTCAAGAATATCGGTATAATTTACTTTGGTTGTATAAACGTGCGTTCTTTTTTCCTCAACTACTGTGCTGTAGTCTGTTTCCTGGGTGGGCCATTTTGGGTTATCTTCTTGTAACCAAGAAGGTCCCTGCCACCACAACGAATTGTTGACCAATTCATATGCTGGAAGTCCTCTGCTCGCTAAGTCTGCTGGATTTGATGCCGAATCCACATGCAGCCAATTCTTGTTTCCGACTTTCTCTACAATTTTTGTGATTCTATGGGCAACGAAAGTTGACCATGAACACGGAGGCTTACGAATCCAAGCGAGAACAATTGTGGAATCGGTCCACAGATGTATGTTGATATGCCCTAAGTTGAGATTGTTGATTATTGAATCAACTATTTCCGCCAATAGTACCGCTCCGCAAAGTTCCAGTCGGGGTAGCGATATGGTTTTAACAGGAGCAACTCTGGTTTTTGCCAAAAGCAGGTTAATAAAAACTTTGCTATCTCTTTTGACACGCATATACACAGAGGCGGCA